ACTGATCATCAGAAAAATTACCTTGTGATCATGAAAAATACTTTGCTGTTTTGCCAAATTTCAAGGTTTATCTGCATACATAGGAAGACATTTTACTTTATAGAAAATGCTTTTCATACATCAATAGCCCTTTGGGATTTATGGCAAACAATCTGGTATGAGCCATAGATTAACACAACTTTACATCTCTACATGATGTGTTCAGTTAGAAAAGGGGACAATATGTGACATGGGACAACATTTCATGTATATGAAATGCTAAGGTTTAATACCATTCCAGTCAAATTGTCAAAATAAAAAGCTTCATGGATCAGAAGACTCTAAATCACAGGTTATAGTAAACAGCTTCTCATGTGATCAATGTTAATTCTCTCAAATCTTAAACAATATGTAGTATAACTGTCCAATGATTGAATGATCATGATCATAAACTGAAAAGCCCCAAACATTTGTTTATGATAAAGTAAATAATAGTATGGCGCTTTATGGCTACAGATTTTTGTCCATTGAAATATATGTTCAGGAATGTAGGATTTTGCTGCCATATAACAGTCACGATTCCCAAAGCACTAAAGAAATTATGGCTAAAAGTCCAGCGGAACAACAATTTTAGAAGCATCATCTGCTTACCATACGCCATATTAACATAAATCACATCACACACTCGCATAAATTGACTTTGATATATTAAATTCATGCATACACTTCAGTAGTCCTTTACTTACGATTTTGGATGCAAATTTCTGCTGATAAAACTCAAAACAATGTTGGCTTGCTTTTGAACATCGATGACTGAAATGTCGCTCGCGAGATCGTCTTTGCCAAGCATTTACAATTCATCCATAAATTCTTCGTCCTCTTGAAAAAATTCCCAGTTTGGAAAGCAGCATTCATGTCAATATATGAATTTGTAAAAGATTTCCATAAATTCCATCTGATTGTAGATTAGTTTCTATCATGCTTTAGAAAATTACTATGAAACGATCAAACATTCAATTCAGACAGTGAGCTTGACTATGTTAGTTCAGTTGGCTATCAGTCAAAATCGGTCAAACCAATGACAGTAAGACAAAAATTCAAATGAACCAATTGTAAGATAGCAAGTGGACTACCTTATAGGTCCGGCCACCCCGCTTATCGGTCGAGATTATTCCAGATCTTGCACTGATCTGGGTATTGACCAATGAAATATGCGTTTTTGGCGTTCATAGACTCCTTTATCCGTCGAACCAGTCAAGCCACCCCGCTTATCAGTCGGTTATTCCAGGTCAATTAAAATTCAACTGATCTGGTTACCAACGAGATATTCATTGGATTAGTCATTAGTTTTCAATAATAAAAAAGCTGGATTTTTATCACGAAGTAAATGCGATAATAAAGTAAGAATAATTAATGAATTTTTAATTAATATGAATAGGTAATTTTTGAATTTCAAACATCAGTCGCGCGACGGATTTGACATACTCTAGATCCGCCCCTGTACAGTACTAGAATTGTCACTTATGGGTTAAAAAGTTCTCTCCAGGTCCCTAAATTTAAAAATGGTTTTTGAAATTCTCTCGGTGTAACAGAAAAAACATGTTCCCTTTTATTGGTGATGCATGCAAGGTTGGACAATCGATCTTCCTTCATTCTGCTACGCAAATAGCTTTTATACGTTTTAAACAACGAAATGACTTTCCTTGGATGCGGAAGAAACAGGCAATGTTAAAATATGTCTTAGCAACATATATTTATTTATTACTGAACGCTTACACCATTTGTGAGTTTTGTTCTATTTATACTACTACTAGTTGCAATTAATGAAAGACGTGCAACGTTAAAACTTATGTACCTTAACGTAACAATATAATGAGAAATGCAAGAATTCCGAAATGTGCAACAGTCCAGCAGAAAAGCTTGTCTGATTTTCGTAATCTTCATACACATGACATTAAAATCAGTAATTTTGAGGTGCTTGCATCAAATATGGCCATATAAATTTCCGACAACCATCCAAAATTTTCCGACAGACACATATGCAAGGATGTCGGAGGAAATAAGGAATTTAATTAGTAATGAGAATAATTTAAGATGCTCATTACATGCTACTAATCTACTACAATATCAGTAAGTAATAGATTTTCAAACGTAAACCTTTTTTAGGGTTTATCCCTCGTGACATTATTTTTTTAGGGGGTTAAGCGTTCTTAAGCCCCCTTTCAGCACTTATGTATTTAGCTGAGAATATGTTGTTTGAGCACATGCAAACGCATGGAAAGTTTTAGTCGAAATCGCACACTTTTAAATAAATCTAAAACCAACTTTGTTTTTGTTACTTTTTGACTTCATACCTTAAGCATGCAAACATTTAAGCAGTTCACGTAATCATGCTTGTGAAAAGTCAGTTATGACTTAAACTGAAGTTTGAAGGCAGTTTAAAAACAACAGGTTAAGAATTCATCAAACAAGTCCTGGAAAACCAACCAAACCATCTAAGCATTTATAAAGCATTTTTAGGAGGCAAACAACGTTTTAGTTTTAATGAATAAATTTAAGTTAGTTTCCGACTTCTTTGCTAACAGTTTTTTTTTGTTTAACATGACAAAGAGGTGAAATTGGATTGTTGACAAGGTATGTTCAAAGACTTATGTGCTTATTAAAGGTGAAGTTCTTTAGTTGATGAAAAATTTTACTTAAATTTCGAATGACAAACAATCAATATGCAATTTATGTTAAAATAGCGTTAACAAGAATATTGGGGTTTTTTTGTTAATTGAACTTAATATGTTGACCAAACCATAGTTCTGTTGTTGCAATTACTCACAATGAGCAACGATGTTTACTGTTATAACAGATGACAACCACATTCTGTTTTATACATGATATTTAAAATAATCTTCTCCTCAATAAACATAATCATCGCTCTAACCAGATAATTGAAAACTCTTCTTATTTTGAAAAAAAGGAATGCTGCAATCTTTACAGCTGTAGTCTCTGATATCGATAGAACAGACATTTAGGCAAACTGGTACTGTAGTGAACTCTTTTAAAACGGGTGCATTTTCATGGGTTGCAATTACTAATTGTGCTTCATTCCAGCCTTTCTTAACGTATAAAAACGTGATACGCTATAACGTAATTCCATTATTTTTTATACCGATAATTGCAAAAAAAGGCAAAAAAAGCAAAAGCAAACCGACAAAAAGGCAAATAAAAGGCATCACAATGTCAAACCGACAGTAGACTTTGACAATTTCGCTGTCTTTTGTAAATGATTTATACTAGCCATTAGAAGAAACCGAATAATTTTGGCAAGACATTGCTTTTTTTTACAAGGTTGACCAACAAATCCTTCTTAACATTCAAAAAAGGAACAAGTCTTACTGTGTAATGTGCTTGATTATTGACACGTACCATTGTTATGGCTATACGATGACCTTCGACAGTAATCCGTTTTTATATGGAAAATCTTTATACAATAATTTAACTTTAACTAGAAAGTGAAAGAAAATATATGTCCATAAAACTGACATTCTCACGTTTAAAAGAATATAGTTTTTAGCGCTGTATATAAATATAAATGTGTTGGTAAATGATGAAATCTGTATTTAATTGAAATTTAAAACGGTGTTGAATGTAAATTAATAAAAAATAGAAATAATGTTTTAAAAAACAAGCTGTTTAGTTATTTGTTTGATTTTCTGGTGTTTTCCCTCTAATTTAGAGACATAAATATCTTGCCACAATTAATATCCTCGTTCGTAAATTTTATAAACGTAAAATTAGATAAAGCCAAATGATGTTTTTCTACTTCAACTTAAAACGTAATTTAATTTTGAATTTGTTTTTTTAAAAACGCAAACGTTTGAGATTTTTTGAAATTGACAGACAAACACTTTCCTATTCATTTAACACTCCTGGGGTGGATCTGGGCTAAGTTAAATAAGTCACATGAATTACGTACAATTTGCAAAAAAGCGCAAGTTCTCAAATGAGTTTTGATAGTTCAATTAATTTTGATAGTCATCCGAAATTTGATAGTTAATGTTCTAAGAGATTGCTCCACTATAGCAGCTTTTTCTGTAAGCGTCTAAAGTTAGTTTTCTTTGATTTATGGTTGAAATTCATGTTTTGCATTAAAAAAACAAACAATAAACGAAATTTTAACATTACTGTATATATTACTAAATCTTGTGCGTTGACTAAAAAGTTGAGAAGTTGGGTAGTCTGACTTGCATAAATAAATATCATATTATTTTTATATAAACCTTGTATCATTTATTATTTCACTTATACTGAAGATGGCATCATGAGATGTCGAATCATGTCTATTTTAAAAAAACTTGTCGTGCATATTAAATGCACATTAGCAATAGTGCTTTTACGGAATACACATTTAATATACACGACAACTTTTTTGAAAATAAACATGTTTCGACATCTCATGATGCCATCTTCAGTATGAATGAAATAATAAGTGATACAGGGTTTATATAAAAGTAATATGATACATAAATTAGAACAATAAAAAGGAAATAAGATAATATAATGAGGAGCGTCCGAGCGTATTATAAACTAAATATTGTATTGAATTTAAAAACTTGAACATTGAGGTCAGGGTTAGTTTTGTTAATATGGAGTGCTTCTTTGATTTTAAGGGTGAATAAGGTGTCGGCAGTGTCGATGATTTTGAAACAAGAGGGTGAATAGTTGGTTTTGCATGAGTGTGATTTAAGAAGGTGTCGGTAGATGTGAGAGTTTTTGTCTGTTGTGGTATGTTCCCTGATTCTGGTGGATAAATGGCGCGAAGTTTCGCCAATGTATCGGGAATTACATCCCGCGCAATTGAATTCATATACCACCATAGATTTAATTGAATCAGGGATCGGGTCTTTAAATGAAAAAAGGTTTTTGATTTTGAATGATGTGAAAATCAGTCGAATGTCAATATCTGTACAGAAGCGTTTCATAATGTTTGTAAGTCTGCGTTGTGTGTGTCGTGAGTAATGTCCGATGTATGGTAGTTTGAAGTATAGAGTTGTTATTTTGGAATTTTCATTTGTGTTGGTTGTGATCGTCGTGTCAGGAGTTTTGGTGTCTAGGTTGAGGTTGTTGCTATGTTTGTTGTCGAGATATCGTTTTACGGTTCTGTTAATAAAGTGAAGTGGGAAAGAGTTTCGTAAGAGAGTGGATGTGATGTTTTTTATGTCTCGTTGAAAGCCATTGTTCGTATTGTTAAGTTTGTATGCTCTGTCGATTAGTGTGCGTATAAGTCCGGTTTTGTATGAAAGTGGTGTGAAACTAAAATAGTTCGTCAGAAGTCCTGTGTACGTTGGTTTGTGGTATGTAGATGTTGTACAGCTGTCGTGAGATTTTGTTAGTAAAATGTCAAGAAATGGCAGTTGATCTTGTTGTTCAGTTTCGAAAGAAAATCTAATGTTTGCGTGCTGTGTGTTAATGTAATTATAAAACTTCATGGCCTCAGTTTCGTTAGTAAAAACACAAAAAATATCGTCAACGTATCTGCGGTAAAATAGTGGTTTAGTGTCGTTGTAGTTGTTTAGCCAGTTTCGTTCATGTGAGCCCATGAAAATGTTAGCAAGTATGGGTGCTAAGGGAGAGCCCATCGCAACACCGTCCGTCTGGTCATAAAATTTTCCATTAAATAAAAAATGCGTCTGTGCTGTTGCTATTAAAAACAGTTGTGTGAGGTCAGTCCTGTTTATACTGAACGTGGGGTTGTGAGTGAATATTAAGTCGATTGCTAGGTTAATGGTTTCAGTAAGTGGTATGTTAGTAAATAGGCTTTCAACGTCGTAGGAGATGAAGAATTTGTGACAAGAAGTTGATGAGTTGAAAGATGAGAAGTCGTCGAGGAAAGTGAAAGAATCTTTAGTGGAGTGGTCATCTGGTATGAGTGGTGTTAGTAGAGAACTAAGATACTTAGCTAAATTATAATTGTATGCGTTGATTGATGAAACTATCGGTCGTAGTGGAGGCGATTGTTCTGGTTCTCGTTTCTTGTGAAGTTTCGGTAAGCCATAGAAGCGTGAGGGTTGAGAACCTCTGGGGAAGATATCATTACAAACTTTGTTGCTAATAGAGTCTTTCTTTAGAAGCTTCCTTAACAGTCGTTTTAGTTTGGCTTCACGTGGTAGTGTGACGTATTCTTTGAGTGGGGTAAACTTTGCTGTAGTGTTAATGATTTTAAGGCAGGAGTTACGGTACATTTGACGATCCATGATTACAACGCCGTTGCCTTTGTCCGGTTTGAGAATGATAATGTTTGGATTGTTGCGAATGTTTTTAAGAATGTGATGTTTTTTGAAGTCAGCTGGTGTCGGGTGATAAGATGAGATGTACGAGTGAGCGATGTGTGACAGCTCTGTTTTGAGATGCGTGTAGTCTTCTTGATTGCGAATGTTGTGTTTTATAGTTTGGTGGATTTTTTCGAATGTTGCCAGAATGTCGGTTGAGTTGAGTCGCAGTGGTTTAATGCTGAAGCCAAGGCCATTTTTCAGGAGTTCTAGTTCTTCGTCTTTTAATTGGTGTGATGATAAATTGGTTATCGTCTCATTGTGTGTGAATAATAGGGTTCTGTTCCTCGTGAGATTACTTAGTTTTTTCCGGTGTGTGGCAATTGCCTTTTGTAGGTATTTGGTAATATTTTTTTCTAGAGCTTTGTTTATAATATTCCAGTCGAGAGAGGATAGATTATTCTTTAATTTTTCTGATATTTTTGTTACTTCATTCGATAACTTCCTTTCTTCCTTTGTTCGCTTTTTGATTGCGCTGCGTAATAGTCGTCTGCGTATCGCAAAGCTATCTTGGTTGTTGACATTTGGTAGTGGAAAGCAGAGAAACTTTGGATAAACGCCGAGTGAAAGACAATCTTTAAGAAACTTAACATCTAATTCTGCTTTCCGTTGTTTGGTTTGAAGCTTTTCAAACTTCCGCAATTCTGATAAGGAAACCTTTCCTTCGTATTTTTGTGCTATGTCGTAAATAATGTTTCCATAATTTCGTAAAAGCACTATTGCCAATACACATTTAATATACACGACAACTTTTTTGAAAATAAACATGTTTCGACATCTCATGATGCCATCTTCATAAGTCCGGTTTTGTATGAAAGTGGTGTGAAACTATTTTAGTTTCACACCACTTTCATACAAAACCGGACTTATACGCACACTAATCGACAGAGCATACAAACTTAACAATACGAACAATGGCTTTCAACGAGACATAAAAAACATCACATCCACTCTCTTACGAAACTCTTTCCCACTTCACTTTATTAACAGAACCGTAAAACGATATCTCGACAACAAACATAGCAACAACCTCAACCTAGACACCAAAACTCCTGACGACGATCACAACCAACACAAATGAAAATTCCAAAATAACAACTCTATACTTCAAACTACCATACATCGGACATTACTCACGACACACAACGCAGACTTACAAACATTATGAAACGCTTCTGTACAGATATTGACATTCGACTGATTTTCACATCATTCAAAATCAAAACTTTTTCATTTAAAGACCCGATCCCTGATTCAATTAAATCTATGGTGGTATATGAATTCAATTGCGCGGGATGTAATTCCCGATACATTGGCGAAACTTCGCGCCATTTATCCACCAGAATCAGGGAACATACCACAACAGACAAAACTCTCACATCTACCGACACCTTCTTCACACTCATGCAAAACCAACTATTCACCCTCTTGTTTCAAAATCATCGACACTGCCGACACCTCATTCACCCTTAAAATCAAAGAAGCATTCCATATTAACAAAACTAACCCTGACCTCAATGTTCAAGTTTTTAAATTCAATACAATATTTAGTTTATAATACGCTCGGACGCTCCTCATTATATTATCTTATTTCCTTTTTATTGTTCTAATTTATGTATCATATTACTTTTATATAAACCCTGTATCACCTATTATTTCATTCATACTGAAGATGGCATCATGAGATGTCGAAACATGTTTATTTTCAAAAAAGTTGTCGTGTATATTAAATGTGTATTGGCAATAGTGCTTTTACGAAATTATGGAAACATTATTTACGACATAGCACAAAAATACGAAGGAAAGGTTTCCTTATCAGAATTGCGGAAGTTTGAAAAGCTTCAAACCAAACAACGGAAAGCAGAATTAGATGTTAAGTTTCTTAAAGATTGTCTTTCACTCGGCGTTTATCCAAAGTTTCTCTGCTTTCCACTACCAAATGTCAACAACCAAGATAGCTTTGCGATACGCAGACGACTATTACGCAGCGCAATCAAAAAGCGAACAAAGGAAGAAAGGAAGTTATCGAATGAAGTAACAAAAAATATCAGAAAAATTAAAGAATAATCTATCCTCTCTCGACTGGAATATTATAAACAAAGCTCTAGAAAAAAATATTACCAAATACCTACAAAAGGCAATTGCCACACACCGGAAAAAACTAAGTAATCTCACGAGGAACAGAACCCTATTATTCACACACAATGAGACGATAACCAATTTATCATCACACCAATTAAAAGACGAAGAACTAGAACTCCTGAAAAATGGCCTTGGCTTCAGCATTAAACCACTGCGACTCAACTCAACCGACATTCTGGCAACATTCGAAAAAATCCACCAAACTATAAAACACAACATTCGCAATCAAGAAGACTACACGCATCTCAAAACAGAGCTGGCACACATCGCTCACTCGTACATCTCATCTTATCACCCGACATCAGCTGACTTCAAAAAACATCACATTCTTAAAAACATTCGCAACAATCCAAACATTATCATTCTCAAACCGGACAAAGGCAACGGCGTTGTAATCATGGATCGTCAAATGTACCGTAACTCCTGCCTTAAAATCATTAACACTACAGCAAAGTTTACCCCACTCAAAGAAGACGTCACACTACCACGTGAAGCCAAACTACAACGACTGTTAAGGAAGCTTCTAAAGAAAGACTCTATTAGCAACAAAGTTTATAATGATATCTTCCCCAGAGGTTCTCAACCCTCACGCTTCTATGGCTTACCGAAACTTCACAAGAAACGAGAACCAGAACAATCGCCTCCACTACGACCGATAGTTTCATCAATCAACGCATACAATTATAATTTAGCTAAGTATCTTAGTTCTCTACTAACACCACTCATACCAGATGACCACTCCACTAAAGATTCTTTCACTTTCCTCGACGACTTCTCATCTTTCAACTCATCAACTTCTTGTCACGAATTCTTCATCTCCTACGACGTTGAAAGCCTATTTACTAACATACCACTTACTGAAACCATTAACCTAGCAATCGACTTAATATTCACTCACAACCCCACGTTCAGTATAAACAGGACTGACCTCACACAACTGTTTTTAATAGCAACAGCACAGACGCATTTTTTATTTAATGGAAAATTTTATGACCAGACGGACGGTGTTGCGATGGGCTCCCTTAGCACCCATACTTGCTAACATTTTCATGGGCTCACATGAACGAAACTGGCTAAACAACTACAACGACACTAAACCACTATTTTACCGCAGATACGTTGACGATATTTTTGTGTTTTACTAACGAAACTGAGGCCATGAAGTTTTATAATTACATTAACACACAGCACGCAAACATTAGATTTTCTTTCGAAACTGAACAACAAGATCAACTGCCATTTCTTGACATTTTACTAACAAAATCTCACGACAGCTGTACAACATCTACATACCACAAACCAACGTACACAGGACTTCTGACGAACTATTTTAGTTTCACACCACTTTCATACAAAACCGGACTTATACGCACACTAATCGACAGAGCATACAAACTTAACAATACGAACAATGGCTTTCAACGAGACATAAAAAACATCACATCCACTCTCTTACGAAACTCTTTCCCACTTCACTTTATTAACAGAACCGTAAAACGATATCTCGACAACAAACATAGCAACAACCTCAACCTAGACACCAAAACTCCTGACACGACGATCACAACCAACACAAATGAAAATTCCAAAATAACAACTCTATACTTCAAACTACCATACATCGGACATTACTCACGACACACACAACGCAGACTTACAAACATTATGAAACGCTTCTGTACAGATATTGACATTCGACTGATTTTCACATCATTCAAAATCAAAAACCTCTTTTTTCATTTAAAGACCCGATCCCTGATTCAATTAAATCTATGGTGGTATATGAATTCAATTGCGCGGGATGTAATTCCCGATACATTGGCGAAACTTCGCGCCATTTATCCACCAGAATCAGGGAACATACCACAACAGACAAAAACTCTCACATCTACCGACACCTTCTTAAATCACACTCATGCAAAACCAACTATTCACCCTCTTGTTTCAAAATCATCGACACTGCCGACACCTCATTCACCCTTAAAATCAAAGAAGCACTCCATATTAACAAAACTAACCCTGACCTCAATGTTCAAGTTTTTAAATTCAATACAATATTTAGTTTATAATACGCTCGGACGCTCCTCATTATATTATCTTATTTCCTTTTTATTGTTCTAATTTATGTATCATATTACTTTTATATAAACCCTGTATCACCTATTATTTCATTCATACTGAAGATGGCATCATGAGATGTCGAAACATGTTTATTTTCAAAAAAGTTGTCGTGTATATTAAATGTGTATTGGCAATAGTGCTTTTACGGAATAATAATGTTTAGTTACTCTCAAAAATTGTTATTTTAGCGTCATAAATATATGTAATCTTTCATTTTTTTACACAATGTAAGAATCTTCATTGTAAAAATCATCTAGTAATAATCTTCTCAAAGGGAATTCTAGTCGTACATTTTTACAATTACTTATGTAAACACTTTGTAATTTGATCTTTTATTGCGGCAAAGTGTAACTATACTATTAATAATGATAATGAAAATTTATTTAGTTTTTGTTTACATTATATACAATTGCAAGTCTCTCTTTTAAAGATAACGTGCATATGGCTATATGATTATATTGTAGTAATTAAAGTAAGTCTTCAGTATATACGTGTTTAATAAAAGTGTTTATTAAAATCTGATAAGATCTGCCATTGTCCATTCTTTTTTTGACAGCTAAAATGTAATACGTTTATCTTATGGGAATATTTTTCTCACACATTTACTTACATATTTTTCATGATTTTTATCAAAGCTCAAGCTATCGAGCAATTGCATAAAGTATTAAAATCCTTGTGGAAAACCCCAAATGACTGATAGAAAGGTTGACAAATATCAGTTTAAAAAAATTCTTATAACGAAGCTATTAAACATCTATGGAAATCTACAAACATGCACTCCATCATCCAATACGATCAATTTCCATTAACCAAAGAACCTACAATAATTGTGTATAGAGCTATAACATTTCTGTATAAAGCTATAATATTTGTGTATAAAACTAAATTTCTTTTTAAAATTAGTTGTAAGGCTTGTATATTTCTGGGCTTTACTGTTTATATTTTCTCTAAGGTTTGTCTCGTACCCAACATTAGTTTCGTAATATATATAAGTGATTGTCAGTGGTTAAGCCAAAGTCATCCGGACAAAAGTCTTTTCCTGAAATTAAATGAATTGGATATGATGGAAATCTCCATAAAATTTTGCACTAACTTAGAAGAAAGATTATTAACAAAAAAATTTGGTATTGAGTCATGTCTCCAGATAAATCAATCAATTAAGATATAAACTGCAGCCAGCAAATATTTGAAGTAATTATTCCGTGTGCAGACAAATCGGTCAGTCTAAGGTCGAAATCCCCCCATTTATTCATATTTTTACAGTTGAGAAAGAGTTGTTTATGTATCGTATGACAAAATTAAAATGTTTTTTGGTAGTTTAGATTGAGAAATACATCATTTTTCATTTGTTTGTGAATATTAAAACTTCGGTTTTCCGGCTTCGCGGTTTTGAAAAACTTTTATTGTTAAAATTTAAAATTTTAGAATTTCGTAGGGCTAAAACTCGCCTAAAACTTTGTGAAATTTATCTGCGACAGCTGTTGTTGCTATGTATAGTATCATAAAGATTCAGAATACGCAAAATCTTTTTTTGTGTTAATGGCACTTTAACAAGAAATACAGTGAGCTTTCATCAACAGCTGATTCCAAAAGGCTCTCGTATAATACAATTTAAAAATAGAAACATAAATCTGTTAAGTACAACGTAAGACAAAAATGTGTGTAAAGCGCGGGCCACACTACCGTCGAAATGCAACGAATTTCGTGACGAGTCGCTCGTCAACGAGCCGTCGTGACGAGTACATGTGCCACATTGTAAGGATTTTCCGTACAAGCATGGACGATTATCAGCGCAAAAAGAAACTTCTATTATTGAAGAGAAAAATTCTACTGCTTCTAATTTCTGCAAAACGACGTACATACAAAAGAAGGTACTGGGTACATCCCATAAATAAAAGGCAAGAAGAGAAGGGCTTGTATGACACGTTGTTGCAAGAGCTTCGTCAAGCTCAATTGGTCGCAACTTTCAGTTCCCGAGCAACATCCTTCCAATTATTTTTCTTTATATTGCGTGTATCTTTATAGTCAGGATAAATTTGTCCCACAAACATCGCCTCTCTCTCACTAGCTCAATTAAAATTTCTTGCCAATCCGCCATTTTGCCACAGCAAAGTGAAAGCAAACATTAGTCATGTGATTTTTTTTGTCCAATCAGAGTAGATATGCAACAATTACTCGTCACTCGTCGACGATTTCGGTGTGCATGCTCAACGGCGACGAATTCGTCCATATCGTCATATTTTCTCGTTGACGAGCGACTCGTCACGAAATTCGTTGCATTTCGACGATAGTGTGGCCCGCGCTTAAACTGTTATCATAAATTATGGATGAATTCATATCAGTCATAGCTGCAATGCAAATAGGTAAGGTAGTTCAAAATTGCTTTATTAGCTATCGTAGCTTAACTTCAATATCATGTTGCTTTTGGAATCTTTTATCTGCAATTCTTTGGACATGCGTGCTGTCACCATTACCTCAGAAAACAATTAATTGTTGTGCTGTCGCATTATCTGAGGATGAGCAAGGATGTTCTTCGTTATAACATATATAATATATAAAATTATTTTCTCCTCCATAACACCATCACTGCCAAAATCAGAATTTTAAAAATTGAGGGGTTATACGATTTTCCCGTACAACTTCATTCATATATAGTATACATTATATGTCCTACACTTTCTAATATGTAATTGGGTTGTTATTTTACAAACATGAAGAGCATCAAAAGTCCTTCTTTGACAAAGAGGATCTTTTAAAGAGCAGTCTAATCTTTTTCTACCAATAACCCTAGCACTTAGTTCTAAAGGCATATTATATGTTGTCCAAAACCTCTATGAATGAAGAACAATTTTGAGAAATTTCATATTTGATTTATGCGCTTCCTCTGATAAAAGGTGCTGGTTGAAAAAGTTTTGTGATTTAAACATACCGCTTACTCATGTTAAAAAATAAAATTGTGGGTTGTGACATTTTATGCACCTCTATATTAAATAACTGTGCAATTAGAGAGAATTTATTTGAAAAGGAAAGGATAAAATTATAGTGTTTTACTCTAAAGGTAATATATTTTTATTTTTGCAGATTTGCCTGTTTTTCTATCCCTATGTAGTTTATGAAATATTTATGTGTACATTGTAAATTAACACTAGCAACGATAAACTGACTATATGAAATCCTGGTATGAAATATAATTGATTAAACATTTAAAATGAATTTTCCTTAGTAAGTAGTTTTAACTCTTTCACGTTTTTATGTAAACAAAGTTTAGTTTGGTAAGCTCCTTGAAAAGGAAGTCATCATTTCTATTCATCAATATACTTCATTTTTTTTTGTAAGTTCTTTGAAAAGGAAGTCATCGTTTCTATTCATCAATATACTTCATTTGTTGGCCAAACCACAGTTGTGTTGTGGCATTATTTGATGATGAGCAACGCTGTTTTGCGTTATAACATTTATAATATCCAAAATTATCTTCTCCTCCTTCACCTGTACAGGAAGTTGATTTAAAATCTTTCTTATTGCAGTAATTTAAAGCTGATGAACTATCTAAATGGAGAATTTCGACATCATATTGCCAAAAAGGAACGCTACAGTCTTTGCAGTTGTAGCCTCTAATATTAATATAACTGACATTCAGGCAAACTGGTGGTGGTGTAATGAACGTTTGGAAAATTGGTGCATTTTTATGGGTTGCAATAACTAAATCTGTTTCATTCCAGCCGTTCTCACCATATGAGCACGTGACACGCCATAACGTGTTTCCGTCTTCTTTTATACTCTTCATTGCGTTGAAAGAAAGTCTGTGATCTTCCCATGTTTCATTCATTTCGTTACGAGGAAAATTTTTATAATAGGGACGATCTCTATACTGAGCACGGAACTTAAAGCTATGGGACATAACCAATGTCCAAACATTCATGGAATCAAACTGACAATAAACTTTGGCCATTTTAGTTTTATTTGTAAATATTGTATACCAGCCATCAGAAGGACCATGAAAATTTTGACAAGACATCGCTTTCTTTTCACAGCGTTTACCAACAAATCCTTCTTTACATTCACAATAGTTACATGTCTTAGGGTACGGAGCATCTGATTTTTGACACGTACCATTATTAGAGCAGTACGATGAAAACTGGAAGCTTTCTGTACAATATTTTGACTTGAACTAGCAAGAGAAACAAAAACATAAAACGACAATCTTACTTTAAAAGTAATTAATTTTTGTGTTTTGTTAAACATAAAACAAAGAAAAATCTAAAAGGGGAAATACCTGGAAAAAAGTACCTTTTTACTATAAATTTTCATGCGGCTGGTTAATTGCGATTACAAATCATGATAAAATTTTAAAAAATCTACGTTAACAACTACGTTTTTAGGTATGGTGATGTGTATTTACGTTGAAGTACATTGTCTCGGCTATATAATTGCCACAATTTATCACTAATATGTATAAATCAATTGTTTAACTTTGTTGATATTTTGAAATTTCAACGTAAATAACAAAATGCAGAATTTCAAAAAAGACTAGCATTTCTTCATAAATACAAGGTGTTAAAAACATGTTGATGAAATATGTGAATTTTGCATTAAGACGTTTGCAGCTTAGATATTTATTTGATTTTTTGGCGTCTTTCCTCTAATTCAGAAAGATAAAGGCTTTGCTACGTACAAGACAATAGCTCATCAACTTTACACTCGTCAAGGGTTGAATTTGCTTTTTCCATAATGCAAACGCACAATATTTGTTCTAACTGACTGACAAATTTTTTCCTATTCATTGTAATCGAGATATTTGTCGAACTAAGCTTACTACAGTTGGTTTTTCTACGTTAGAAAATCTTTGTTGCAGTAGACGCCACGCTTTTGCTCCGTCTCCGACACCATCTGGCGACAAGCAGTCATGTCGAATGTATAAAAGGCTGTTGTTGTCAAGAGCTAATGCAATATGACACCACACCGTGTTGTTCCTTTCTTTGATTTCGTCAATTTGTTGATTTCTCAATCGTACTTTCGTCTCCCATTCGGCCCTTTGCTCACTTGTAGCGTCGACTGTTAACGGTGTAACTTCTTGAGGTAAGATTTCTCTCCCAATGAGAGCTTTGTACAAACCTTTCGTTTGCATGTATGCAGTAAATCTTGTGCTCCATGCCGGGTAGTTCTCGGCTGTTCCATCGAACACAAGCCACCTAATTGTTTGACTATCCATAAATACGGTCTTGTACTATTTCTGTACTATTTCGGAGCTTTTTCTGGGCTATTCCTTTGCTATCTGGGCTACTTCTGAGCTTCCTGGGCCCATAACCTGTTAGATTATGAACTTTATTCAAAAAGAGGAGTCGTATTGATTTTACAACAACAATATATATATGTACATGTGTAGGAAGTATGTAAGATCGTACGATTGTCACGTGTCCACTGGTCTGTATCTAATGAACTGAATTGACATTAACTTTAACAAATGAAATACTTTATGTTATATTGTATCATGTTAACACCCCCACTCAGACTCAGCTTGCTCATGATGAGTCTGCTATGTGGTTAACTAAATTCCTAAAAGTGTTGCTCGATGTTTTTCTACTTTGACTCGAGATAATGACTTTGTAAGAATGTCTGCTGTCATTTCTTCGGTTGGAACGTAACTGATCTTTATTTCCTTGCTTTGTACTCTTTCTCGAATGAAATGTAGTTTCGTATCGATGTGCTTTGATCGTTTATGCATTACGGGATTGTGACACATCTTTATACAAGATTGGTTATCTTCTCCAATGTTGGTTGGTTTCTTCATTGGGTAACCTAAATCTTTCATTAGTGCTCGTAGATATATTGCTTCTTGTACAGCTGCCGCCATAGCTTGATATTCGGCTTCTGTTGACGAAAGTGCTACAGTTGCCTGTTTCTTCACTTCCCAGCTGATTGCACCTCCGTTCCCTTCAAATTTGAAGTAATATCCTGTAGTTGATTTTCGATCATTGAGATCACCACTCCAATCTGCGTCTGAATCACCAACGATATCGAGATTGGAATTCTTCAAGAATGTTAATTGTAAATCGATAGTTCCTTTAAGATATCTTAATACGTGCTTTGCTGCTTTCCAATGTGAAATATCTGGTTTATCTAGGAATCTCGATAGCTGATTAACAATGTGAAGGATATCTGGACGGGTTTGTTTACCAATAAATAGTAATGATCCAACTAAACTTCTGTATAACTTCGCATCGACTAACTTCTGATCGTCGTTGCTTTTGATTAGCTTCAGATTTACTTCTCCAGGCGTTGCTGCTGCTTTACAATCACTCATATTGAATTGTTGAAGAACAGATTCGATGTATTTCTTTTGGTCAACGGTAATCTTGTCGTGAGATCGTAGAATTCGCATTCCTAAGAACCAGTGCAGTTTGCCACGGTCGTCCATCTTGAAATTTTTGCTTAACATTGCTTTGATGTGATTAACTGCTTTTTCACTCGTACCAGCCACTATAATATCGTCTACCCAAACTAATACGTATGAGTATGTTCCATCTTCTTCTTTTCTCACAAATAAACAATAATCGTTGCAGCTACGTTTGAATTTTTCTTTAATAAGTAGACTAGCCAGTGCTTCATACCAATTCTTTGCCGCTTGTTTCAATCCATAGATTGATTTGTTTAGCTTGCAAACTTGCTTTCGTCCTGATTTTGCTTTCTTGGTAAAACCTTCTGGTTGTTCTAGATAAATTTCTTCTTCTATGTTGGAGTGAAGGTATGCTGATTTAACATCCATCTGGCCAATATGTAGACCTTTTTGTGCTGTCATTGCGAGCAGTATTCGAAAAGTTTCGGGTTTACATGTTGGAGCGTAAGTATCGAAAAAGTCTAAGCCTTCGACTTGAGCATAACCCTTGGCTACATATCTTGCTTTGTATTTGTCGATTTGACCATCTGCTCCATACTTTACTTTATATACCCATTTTCCTGGTAAGACTTGTACATTCTCTGGTTCGTTGACTATTGTCCATGTGTTATTGTCCATTAGTGAATCATATTCTGCTTTCATCGCTTTTCTCCAGTTTTCAGCATGCGGTGTATTAATTGCTTCATGATAAGGCTTGGGTTCTTGTACACTTTCTTCATTAGTTGTGTTGAACGTATAGTATAATCCATACCTTTCTGGTGGTCGCCGATTTCTGCTTTCTCTAGGAAGCCAAATTTCTTCCTCTGGATTTTCTTCATCTTCTTGCTGATGTTGAACAGCAGGTATCGGTGCATTATTTTCCCCCACTTCATCTTGAATCGGTTCCTTCGTTTTCTCATCTTTCGAACGATCATCGTCGAAATCCATGTTGGGGCTCATAAGATTTGGTTGTTCTGGATTTATCGTATCTTTTGCTGAAAAAGGTTGAATTTCACTTTCTTTGAAGACAACATTGCGTGCTTTGATGACTTTCATCGATTCGAATTCTTGCAGGATGTAAGCTGTGCTTTTGTCATCGTAACCAATAAATTTTGCTTTCACAGATCTTGAATCCAATTTCTTTAGGTTGATCTTCCGTTTCATGACGTATGCTGTGCAGCCAAAAGTGCGTAGATGATTTAATCTTGGCGTTTTTTCTGTGAATAGCTCGAAAGGACTTTTACCTTGTTCACTGTTGGCAGTAACGGTGAGATTTCTGATATGAGATGCTGTGGATAAGGCTCTTACCCAATAACGTTTTGGTAACTGTGCTTGGATTAATAGACATCGTCCCATTTCAACTAGAGTTCGATTATAGCGTTCGGCAACTCCATTTTGTTGCGGGGTTTCGGGTACTGTAAATTCCTGCTTTATTTTTGATTCTATGCAGTAAGCTTTGAATTGCTTCGATGTATACTCTGCTCCATTATCGCTTCTCAATTTTCGAGGTAATCCTGATTCTGCTACGTACTCTTTAAATTTTTCGAATGCTTGTGCTTTCTTGCTCATGAATTTAACGATTGCATACTTTGAGTATTCGTCTACAAAGGTAATTGCATATCTGCATCCACTGAGGCTAGGCACTTCAAATGGACCAAGAATATCTGTGTATACCAATTCCCGTGGTTTCTGGGACTTATTGTGGGCTTCTTTAGGTACAGGTTTGCATGATTGCTTTCCAAGTGCGCATGTTTCACACATTTTCTTTAATTTGTCTTCGCAGTTAACTGTGCGTTTGACATCATCTTTGTTCAAATGTCCGAGGCGTTGATGCCACAGTTGAAAATCTCCTTTCATTTCTCTTTTATTCTGGTTGCTTGTAATGGAATTACAGGAACTGGATCTTTGGAATACGATCTCTAGATAAAATAAACCTGCATTTTTGGTTAGGGCAATTTCTGGACCATGATTTAACATCAACTTTGCTTCACACTCTTTGAATACGAACTTATGTCCAAATTTGACAGCTCGGTTGACAGAGTAGGTTGACTTCATAATTTGGCACATAAAGGACGTTTCGCAGTACCATCTCTACTTCTTCTCCATCGTTCAATAAAGCTTTACTGGTACGTCACCAATACCTTCGATAGGTGTTAATTTTTCCTTTGGATCCTTAACATTTTAGTATTGCATGGTTTTAAGTTGTCGAATAGTTCCTTTTTTGTAATGATGTGATCTGTGCAACCGGTATCAATGATGATATAATTCAATCTTCTACTGTCACTATTTATTTCAGTGCCACTGTTCATGCATTGAGAGTATGATGAGAATGAATTTGGTCCTCTTGTTGGAGGTTCTTCGGTTTTATTCTGACTCCTACATGCTCTTGGTAGATGTCCCTTTTTCTTGCACTTTGAACAGAAAGCTGAACTTCTTTTACTACATTGCTTGGCAAAATGACCAGGAGTCCACAAACATAACAAGTTCCTTTTGCTTGATTGGGGCTTTGTTTTGCCTGATGCATTTCCAGAATGCATTGCTATTGCGCTATCTTCTCCTTGGTTTCTTTGGATCCGACTATCCTCGTAATTCTGTAGTCGAGTTCTCAGTTCTGAGAAGTTAGCTGCTGGGTTGAAACTTTCTTGAACCACGAAGTGTTCAAATTTTCTGGAAGTCCATTAATGACTAGAGCATTAAATAATGTTTCTGATATATTTTCTCCGGCTTCAGTGAGTCGAGACATTAATTCTTGTGATCGTATGAAATATTCGGATAACTTTTCACTTTCACCTAATTGTAATCGAGATATTTGTCGAACTAAGCTTACTACAGTTGGTTTTTCTACGTTAGAAAATCTTTGTTGCAGTAGACGCCACGCTTTTGCTCCGTCTCCGACACCATCTGGCGACAAGCAGTCATGTCGAATGTATAAAAGGCTGTTGTTGTCAAGAGCTAATGCAATATGACACCACACCGTGTTGTTCCTTTCTTTGATTTCGTCAATTCAGTTCATTAGATACAGACCAGTGGACACGTGACAATCGTACGATCTTACATACTTCCTACACATGTACATATATATATTGTTGTTGTAAAATCAATACGACTCCTCTTTTTGAATAAAGTTCATAATCTAACACATTCAACACTCAACCTCAATGCAATAGAAGTTAGTTGTAGTACTTTGCATAAATAAAGTCTGGAATATCATCAGCCCTATAAGAATGTTGAGGGAAACAGTGTAAAATTTAAGTACATGTCTACTGCTATAGCTATTAGCACTTGTGAAATTTTTCACATGTAAAGTGTATACATATGGGAATGTGTTTATACAAAAATTATGTTCATATGTGAAATATATTTGTTAGTAAAACAAGTTATATATGAACTCATTTCACGTAGAACGTGTTTCAATTTCATATATGAACTTGTTTCACGTGTGAACTTTTCTCTTGAGACATTAAATATTACGAAGTTGAACAGAATTCATTACGAAATTTAAATATACGTAAATGTAAATAAGTATGCCCATTATTTAAGGAGTCTTTGCATTAAGCCCCAGCAGTGTTGTGTAAAACCTCCTTAGGTTAGTATATAGAAGAGATAATAAATATTTAATAAAACTTTTACAACAGAAGTAAAAGTAAAAGTTTAAAGATATTTTCTTAAGAAAGCAACAAACGCACAAAACAGTATTTTACGTCAACGTTCGTTTATCCTAGTATCAATATTTTGTTAAGCAATATATTTGTTCACAAGATTTATATACATATCAGTGCCATGGCTAGATCACTAATCGGGGAGGTGTTTCTTCATATGTTTAATAATGCCTCTTGTTTTTTAGAAAGCCTAGTGGATTGCAAATGAAATCAATCCTTGCATTTCCTAAAATAATATACATACCCTAAAACCCAATCAACGTTCTACCGACGGTCCTATTAATATGACAAAAAAATCTAAAAAATAGCAACGCGAAATTCCTAAATTAAGGCTTGCAATGTTTGTAAGGACTTGTGGAACAAAAGTTGGGAATATTTTTTTCTAAAGAGTATATTTTTGTTTCCGAATGAACATTTTAAATTAATTCATGCATGCACATAAACAACATTACTAACAAGAAATTTTAACAAATAAAGCTAAAAAAATGAAAAATTTTGTTCAACTTAACAAAATTTTGGGATATTTGGCAGAGTAAGATACGCAAGTTTAAGCATCCAATATCATTGCAATTGCCTTTGAAAGTTTGAAAAGAAAAATTTTTCATTATCAGTCCCTTAATTAGATAGAAATATGAAGACGAATACTTAGAGTGATTTGATTTTCTACCATAATGGAAATATTATTAGAGAAATTGCTGAGTAACGTCGATTTTTTATTTTCAAAATGCCAGACGTAATAATATTTTTACCTCAAAAACTCACCTCGATACTAGACATGTTCATGGTAAAATGAATACATTGATCATCTTCTTCTAAAGATCTTTCATTTGTGTTAGTGGAAAGAAGTTGACAGGCTGTACCACAAATTTGAAAAGATAAACAGGAACTTTCTTCGAAACAGTTGTGCAGACACTGATGAATGCTGGAAGTACTGATATTTCTTAAAATGAAGTGAGATGACAGCCTTCCTAGGCGATTTTTTATATCCACTAGGTAGTTAGTAGAAATAAAGGGAAGAACGCAAAATAGTTGGAGTACAGCAATCCAATGATGCATTGTTACATAAATTTCAACCTAGAAATAAAAAGTTTATAAATGCTCAGTTATTATGAAATGAAAGACTGATTCCGATTTTTGACGTGTCATCAACGATTTTCATTTATATACTTTAAATGTTTTAAAAATGTGAACGGAATTTTTTTAATGAAATATTCATTAGCTACTTATGTTATACTTGCTTGTAGATTTATTAACCCAAAACAAATATTGATCATTTTTTTCAAGTTCATACTCTTTAACAGCATATAGATTTACTGTCACAGCAAAAATTTGCAAATAAACAATGTTTTATATTTCTGCAAAGACTTACAAACAATGTTCATGGTATTATGATTAACGTTTTCGGATTAAAAACTTAAATGAAACAAAATTTCAATTCTGATTGGTTAAGAGCAATGCACTTTCGTTAAATACTAGTGCTAAGATATGAAAACACCGGTGAAAAAACGAATGCAAATTATATATTAAAAAAATGCGCTCAACTGTTTTTCAAACAACCAATGATCTAAGAGCCCATCAAAATAAAACATTTGAAATGCGGGAGCGTTACTTCATTGTAAACAAAGCAATTTTAATGGCTTTAAGTATATTTTCTTTTTACGTTTATCCGTTGTAAGACGTTTCTGGACGAAAATATGAACACTGCTAAAAATAGATATCTTGTTCTAGCTGTGTGTGTATGGAAGCTGTGGTGTTGTGAAAAATAATATTGGGCGAATTGAAAAAATACGTGCCGGCCGATAACTTGCCGCTTGAAATGTACCTGCGCTGAAGTTAAAAATCCCTTAAATAAGCAGTCATATTTCTTTGAAAATATTAATAGTCTTTGTAAAACTTACTCGTGCATGTTTTTCCCAAATTGCACTCAAAACCATGCCATTAGGTATACAGACTAGTTTTAGTCACTTATGAGGCTCTCAAGCGGAGAAAACTGCTATAATGCAAATATTCATGCTAAGTGAAAAAATTCATGGTAAGTGCGAAATTCACGCTTTTTAAAATTCACAGGGTACCCGCAACAGACCTGTTGACTAGAAACTGATCTGACTGGGTATAGCTTCCATAGGTGTCAAAAGTGAAGCGTAATTATTCCTGGTACGCCAAGGGTATGCGGAGTTTTAAACTCGCCAGGGCTTTTTATTCGGTGTCGCAAGAGGGTAATACCACAGGGAGCCCACAGGTCGAGCATAACAAATATCTACATTAGCTATCCAGTACTGCTAAATTGCTATATTATATTAAAACATGTATTAAAATTACAGCATCATTGCGCTAAAAGCAGTAGATAGCTGTCAGATGTGTAATTTCTTTATCGAGTCAGGTACGAAGCAACAAAATAGACCATTGTGACAGCGAGATATCAATATAAATATAAAGTAATGTCAGAATTGGCCACTTCTTGTTGTCATACGATGAGCATGTGTGCTGCATTTTACAATATTGGAAAATTCACTAAATTTTGGCAAACATATTATGTTGATTTTTTAAAGACAATAAAAAATTTGCAATACAACAAAAGTGCCTATGACATGTTTTCAAGGAGACAATATTATAGTAGTTTATACGATTTAAACAAAATTTGCAACATATTTTATAAATGAAAAATTTTATGTTGATGGAGTATGAGCACCTTAAATTTGCAGGTTTTAAAGATATCTTCATATGGACCGCGAGTATAAAAAGACTGGTGATTAACGAAGAAAATGGCTTGCGTGAAGTCACATCGGGAGGGCATTTGTTATGGTCGATAACGTTTTTATTATAGCAACCCAAAGTTAAAATTTTTTAAACGTTTGCTAAAAATTTTTTTTGATAAGGTGCCACACAGATGTGTCGCGTTTACATGTAAAAACCCAATAAATTCGAAGAAAGACTTTGCTCTCCGTAGAATCCCATAGGCAAATGACACAGACCAGAAGCTAGTAAACGTAAAAATGCTTGGGTTGATTATGTAAAAAAAAAACGCAAAAAAATTGGGAACCTTCTGCGACTTTTCAAATTGCTTTAAGCATTTTATAAGGATGACTTTGTGTGCCACTTTACTTGTGAGATTAAAGTGGGTAATTTGGACAGCCCACTGCTTGTAGCTTCCAAACTTAAAAGGGTTATTTAATTAAATAGAAAAAGCGGTTAAGCTGGCTTTGAACACATTTAAAACCACATTAAACAAGATGAATTTGAATAAACGCGTCTGACAAAAACAAATTAGCAAAGGTTGGAAAAATGTTTTGTATTGATATGTTTTCATAATACTTCAATGAATAAAAAAAAACTATTGAATTCGTTTTTCGCATTATATCAAGAATTATTCAGACTTCGGACAATGTTATCCGCCTCAGTTTCGCTTCGAAAGATAACAATGACTTCGATCTGAATAATTCTAGACCGAAGTCATTGTTATCTTCATAAAATAATTGCTTATTAACCCTTTTATGAAAACTTCAAATTAAAAGACTCCCTAATATGTTATAGAATTGAAAAATGAGAGACATTTTAACTGACAATCACGTCGGTAATACTAATTAAATTTGCTGGAGATGAAACAACTATTAAAAAAAACAGATAGTAACACAGTGACAAACAAAATTAACGCATTCGTAGGTGGTTTGATAGTGGTTTCGCAGAAATATGAGAAAAAAATTTCACAATTTACAGATGAATCATGCACTAAATATTTTCTAAAATCAATCAGCAATTTTACACATACTAGTGCAATATTGGGCAGTGAAAAATATATTTGTGTAAATGATATTACCTTTGTACGTTTAATATCATATGCAATGCCTTCTTGATATGTTGTCTCCGTCTTCTCTTACTTTTCAATTGTTTCATGTCCTCACTGCCATTTTTATAAGCATCAGTGCGCTTATGTAAACAAACTTTTCTTTCCACCTGCGAATTGGGAATGTCTTAAATTTTGCTAATGGCCTTTTATTAAAAAATACGTGTCGCAAGTTACCACTCAAAAGCGGAAATGAAAAAGTAAAACATACGTGTGTTATTGTTGATAAGTTTTATTTCGTTTATGAGACATCATTTTAGAACTTTTGTGGATGACTATGCATAAGCTTTATAGAAGGATATTATTTAGCCAATGTCTTTATAGCAAAGATTGCATCACAGAATAAATGTATTAATATGTAGAGTGATATTGATCTATTTAAAATTAATTTGCTCTGACGCAGACGCTCCTTTATGACTTAAAAAGTCACTTATCTAAATGCAAATTTCTTTTTTCAATTAACGCGACAGTTCTATTAAAAGTTTATAGGTTATAGGCCCAGGATATTGAAAATGGACAGTCGAACAATTAAGTGGCTTAGTTTCAATGGGAATGCTAAACATTATACAGCATGGATCACAAAATTTCGTAACTAGTTACAACTCCAAACTTACGTTTTTTATTTATTCTTCGTTTTTTAAACATCTTGTATTAACCAACGAGTGGGAAATTTGGAAGAATTGAAAAAAAACAAAGCAGAGGCAGTTGTAACAATAAAACTCTCTGTTAAAACTTTGTTAGATAGTAAAATTGTCATTTATTGTTTAAAAAGCTCTCTCCAGGTCTATGCATTTAAAGCTATCTTTTTAATTTCGCTCAGTGCAATACAAAAAACATGTTTCCTTTTATTGGCGATGCATGCAAGGTTAAACAATCGATTTTCCTTCGATGTGCTACGCATATAGTTTTGACACGTTTTAAACAACTAAATGTCCTTTCGTTGGATGCGGAAAAAACAGACAAGGCTAAAATAAGCCTTTGCACGTATAGCTATTTATTACTGAACGCTTACACATTTGTGAGTTTGTTCTATTTACACTAGCAGGTGCAGTTAATGAAAGACGTACAAAGTTTAAACTTAAGTACATTAACATAACTATATATTGAGAAATGCGTAACTTCTGAAATGTGCAGCAGTCCAACAGAAAAGCTGGTCTGATTTTTGTAATCTTCATACACATGACATTAAAATCCGTAATTTTGAGGTTCTCGCATCAATTATGGCCATTTAAATTTCCGACAAACAATTTTTAATGAATAACTTTTATGAATAAATTTGCGTTACATTCCGACTTCTTTGTTATTAGTTTTTCTTTTGTTTAACATGACAAAGAGGTGAAAGATAGGTTCAAAGACTTATGTGCTGATTAAAGGTGAAGTTGTCTTGTTAATGAAAAATTTTACTTAAATTTCTAATGACAAACAATCACTATACAATTTATGTTAAATTAGCTTTAACAGGAATATTGGGTTTCTTTTTTGTTAATTGAACTTAATACTAAATGAAGATATGATCTTCGCACTTTGCTGGACTATTTAAGCAAAGTGCGAAGATCATATCTTCATTTAATTTCAAACACCGCACTGCATATTACATTCTTTATATGAACTTAATACGTTAATCAAACCATAGTTCTGGTTCTGTTGTTGCATTTCCTGACAGTGAGCAACGATGTTTTCTGTTACAACATTTAGATCACAATCACATTCTCAGTGGGGTAGCTAGCGAAAAACATTTGGTCGGGCTCACGAGGCCCACCATGGTTGGCGCCGAGCGAGAAAATTTTCCGAATTTAGACTCCCTAGAACGTCGGAAACGGCTATCTTAGAAAGCAAATGCGTGTTATTTATGCAGGAAATAGAAACATTTTGGTTAATTTAAATTGCCGAAGGATCTTATAGTAAAGCAAAGAGACAGTTCAAAAATAGTTGCAGATATGTGATTTACTTTCTCAACACCACATACATAAATAGATACCTATGTACATCTTGTAAAGAAACTTTGTCAAAAGAACCGAAAAAGGCTCTTTTCGATTTGTCATCAACAACTATCAAAAGTTGTGATGCCGTTGATTGTCGTGCTGAAATGACAATCATCATTACCTTAAAATGTTCCCGGAAAAATTCTCACATGCCATGGACGTAAGACATCATCGCTTGCTATCAGCCATATATGAATACCTATTTGTATAAGAAAGCAAGTCTTCGTGGTTTT